CATAAAAAAGCCTGACATGTACTGTATTCCACAATCAGCCCCTTCCTGAAAGGGGGCCAAAAGCTGTACATATTTTGGAGTCTTCTCTTCCACAGCAAATCTTAGTGCAGCTTCAGAATTTTTGGCTGACACCTTGATGACACTGAAATAGAGTCAGCCTCTGAAGCATAGATGTTAACCATGGAGTGGAGATCCCTGCTAATTCCAGTAAGTGCATTAGAATTACAGACTCATAGTATTGCAACACCACATGTTGTACTTACATGTGTGGTAGTTTTGATTATAAAATCCTTGAATGCTCGCTGTGACCCACTCATTGCCTGGCTCTGTTTTGGACTTTTTTGCTATGAACTTCTGGGTTATATTGCCAGCAGGAATGGAGCTCTGAAAGTGACTAGTCATTGGTCCAGTCTTTCAAACATGCCCAAGTGAGAAAGAACCAGTGAGAATGCCTGAGATGCTCCTGTGCAGACTTCAGAGGGATGGCCCTAAGACACATACATAGTAGTAAAAGATCTCTTGAACCTACTAGTTCAGGTTATCATTTTCTCTAATTGTCACATTTCCTAACTGAAATGTACTTACTATTCAAAATGCTTTCAAAATTACCATGAAAATGTACCAGTTTGTGCACATTCTAAGCTTGCAGATCTTACACAGGACTGAAGCAAAACATGCAGGCATCTATTACCTCTAGCACAGAATACTGCTCCTCAGCATCCAGCCCTAGTTAGTTGGCAAGTGCTTTTGTAACATCATGCTTAGTTTCATTTTAGGACACAAAGCCTTGTGTTTTGTTAGCTTTCCATGTAACTTACTACTAAAATTGTTAATTTCTCCCTTGTTTCGTTGTTCAAGCAGTTGGAAGCAGGCAGCTCCACCCAAATTCTTTTCTGCATTACACCAGTGCCCATGCAGCATTTATCTGTGTGGCAGCTTGGTGCCTGTATTCTAGTATCTTAAATGTTTTGCCAGGAAGCCAGCAGTGATGTTCCCCACCCCCCTCTCCAGTAAACTGTGTACTATTTATCTTCTTAATGTCATTTTTCAAATAGAGGCTATTTAACAGCTATATGTGTATTTTCATGCTCACAACTGTAAGTTCCTGAATATACTGACTATGAAAAGTGCACCCACCAACCCTATAGCAGACCATGTGTGTGCAGTTACCTCATTTACACAATCACAATAACACCACAAAATTCAATGCCCCATCAGGAAGATAGGAAATAGTATTTCCTTTCTTCTGCCTTTGTCCATGTACACACTAGACTCTTAAGCAGAGTCTCATTTCGTGGGTGGCTATTTACACAATACCCACGCTCACACAATGCTGCAGACAATTGGGGCCTGATCTCTGTTGCAGCTGCTGGCACCTCTGGAGAAATATTCTGCTTCAGATTTCGCTGTGAAATCTCCTGCCGACTTTCCCCATCCTTGCTACTTCCAGCCCAGGGTGACAGTTTCTGCTGGCTGCCTTCCGTGCTCCGGCAAACCTGGCGAAGCACAGCTGAGCAGAGAGGCAGAGCCTCACCTCTCCTGCATTTGCCCTGGGGGCTTTTGGTGGGGCTTGGGGCTGGAGATGGAAAAGTGAGCCCTCACAGCCGTTTTCACACAGAAAGGGACTGATCATGAAGAACCCAGGAGGACTCTCATGTACCCTGTGATGAAGAATGAAAACTGCTTTCCTCTTCTTTCTGTCCTATTAAGAGGAAGGAAAGGAGCTTCCCAAGAGGATGAATCCAAAAACCCCTGAGATAGGGTCTACAGCTAAAGAAGTACCACAGCTGCAGGAAGAACTGGGATGTCATGCAGGTCATGCAGCTGAGAAAAAGGGAGCAATGCAAAATGCTTAGCAGAAAAGACTTGCAACTAATAGGGAACTCTGTTGGTATTCCTGAAAGAGACAAGTGGGGAGTGACTGCAGCATGTGTTCAAATACGGGGCTCCAACAAGGTACAAGGAACTCTGTAGGTGATCAGCTCCAAGCCTTCAAGCATACAGCTACCTTGTTACCATTGGAAAAGACTCACCCCTAGGGCCACACAAACATGTCATCTTTTTAAATGATGTAAGCTGCACTGAGTTGCAGGAGTTAAAAAAATAAAAATAAATAAAAATACATATTTAAGCATGATGTTCCATCTCCCCAAAACACTGTGCCACATTAACCTCCTCTCAAATAATGAATGAGTGGAGGTACAGAAAGAACATTAAACGTGCATTTGTTGGCCAAACAGCACTGCCTCCTTTTGCACTTGTATTTCTATGGGTGCAAGGCCCTCTACTGCAAGACGGTTTGTAACAGCCCAAGGGCGGCTTTTGAGAGGCCACGTGTTAAAAGCCTAGCAAGAAGCGGTGGCATTGTGCATGCCAAGCTCCTGCTTTACTGACGGCAGGGGGAAGCCACAGTCCGGGTCTGTTGTGACAGCCCAGAGAGAAAATGGAGCTGGTTCTGCTCATTTCTCTGGAGTCCAGAATTCCTAAGACTGCAAAACAGGCCTTTAAAATGTTTCCATCATTATCCCACTTAGCATTGACCCCCAGAAGTCATTCAGCTGAAGTTACCAGCTACATTCACTATAATTGTCTTCCAGGATCAGAAAAAACATTCAGGCTGCAGCCATGCTCAGGCAGGGCTTCTCCGAGTGCCTCCTGCGGCACCACAGGCTGGTCCTGGTACTAGCAGCAGGGAGAAGAAAGATGGCTGAAAAGAGAGAAGAGAAACCCAGGAAAGAGAGATTTGGATTTTTAAGGCTTGCTTCACTGTCAGGTTTCCCCAAGGATGGGACATTAGCCCCTTCCAGTACTGCTTACTGGGATAAAGCACACATGGAAAACTAATCACTTTTGACAGCCAGGCTGCCCACATGAGGCATTTGATGATTTTTTGAAAACAAAATCTCAAGCAAAAATATTTGCAATGTTTCCTGTTTGCAAAGTTAATCCATCATTCTTACAGCTTGACATTGACAGGTTTTGTGCTGTTACAGTGGATCCAAAAAGTCTTCTTTAATTTACAGAAGTAGTTCTTGATGGATTCATATTTCAGATAGCTTGTTCTGCAGAAGGCACAATACTACATGGAAACTTACACTGCTGTGGAAGAGCAGAGCCACTTTCCGTGTGTGCCAGAAACTCCTGGTGATTACAACAAACACGGCAGATGCACATCTCCCTCAGCTTAATTTGTGTTAATTTAGGCCTACAAATGTGAAATTTTCTGATTTACGAGCTGTTCATGACCACAGGGTTTCGGTGTTGTAGCTGGGGTTAGGTCATACGTGGTGCTACCCTTTCATGGGAAGACATAGCACACAGGCCATGCAGCCCAGGAGCTGGTGAGGGCAGCTTCCAACAGCCATTGTGCCACCTGCGGTAGCTGTCACAGAGCTGCCCTGCACTCAAAACCCCAAACCTGGGTACCTGTGGGTTTGTTTCTCCTCCTTCCCCTTCTCCCAACAGCAGTGGACTTCTAACAGCAAGGACACTGTAAAAACTGAGGAACTAGGAAATAATAATTCATGCATTTTCAACACCAGTGTGGTTAATCCAGGCTTTTCAAAGCTGTCTTGTGAAGGGCCAGAAAATTTATCTCAGAGAGGTACTGGTATTTTCTTTGCCTTTCAGGTTTTTTTAAATCAGGTCAGTATACAAAGAACGGCACGGCTGCTCAGCACTTATATGACGATCTCAAAGCAATTGATACTCACTGAATTCACAACCTTACTCTGATTTTGGATTTGTTACTCCCATTTTCACTGTAGAACTGAGGCAAAGTTCAATCATGTGCCAAATACTGCGCAATGTAACAGAGCTGAGAACAAGGCCTTGGCATGCTGGACGTAACAGTGGAAGCTTCCTTGAGCCAAAAAAGCAAAACCTGAGTTGAGGCAATATTCACACTCTTGGGAGGATTTCAGCTGACAACCAAGGCCACCTGAGTGTACACAGGGAAAAGCAATTTGTCCACTTTCACACAGAGCTTTCCAAACCTTCTCACACCTTCCTTTTGCTACCCTTATGTGTGGGCATCTATAACAGGGCTAAAATGAGTGAGATGACAAAGGTTAAAGCTGGGAAAGAGACAGATACAATTAATATCTTCTTTCACACACTAGTTGCTTTTAGCTCTTCGGTAGCTGAGTTAAGCAGCTCATAAATGGCCCTATGAGCTTTTATGAAGTCAAATTAGGAAGTAATGTCTAAAGGGAGGACAGAGGAGTTGTACTTCTGGGTACCAGTTTGACAAAAGCAAACTGAATTATCACCACCTCTCCTCTGTGAACATGCTGGGGTGAGGGTTTAAATCAAGGGCCTATTAAAAGCAGGAGAGGAAGACAGAAGTTTCAGCAGCTGGAACTCACCTCTTTAAGTTTCTCCTGATGCCTAAAAAAAGATGGGGAGCTTCCATGTTGCACCCTCTGTTGCATATGAGCTCCAGACGTGTGCATGCTATTTCCAGAGTCAGAGGATACAGATGTCATTAAATATGCGGGTGATCTGCTCCAGTCTATTGAATTTTTTTTTATCCGAGATCAACACCCAGAAAAAGTATTTGAAGACTCAGCATGAAGAGGGGAAACAACTGCAATGAACTGCAAACAATTGCTACAGTTCCCATATTACCAAAACAAGGTGCAGGGCACAGTATACCCATGAGCCAAAAGTCATGACAATTGATTCAGGAGATCCTGCAGGACCTCTGGAAGAAGTAAGCAACATTCTGACACAGTGGTTATGAAGTAGCTTTTTAAGACCCAGTTAGTTTTCCTTTTATAGCAGCCTATTTATACACCCCAAATTCAGTCACAGCTTCCACTGTACTGATTACTATAGTGCTCATTTCCTCATTCTGAATTGCACATGTATTTATTTTCTCATTTTTTATTCTCTCCTTGTTAGATCTATTAGCCTTGCGTTACCTCCACACCACGCCTAGCCTCTCCTAGGTTCCTTTTCTAGGGCATTTGTCTCATGGACAGTGAAGCAATCAACAGTTCAGTTACTGTTCTTTAAGAAAATAAACATTTTTAAGAAAAAGCTTTCCATCTTTGTTAATTTTTAAATGCAAGATTCAACATAGTGGTTCAGTATCACTCAAGGTAAAAACATCTTCTTTCACTTCAAACAGAACATGAAAATAAGACTTGTTAAAATTCACTATCCCTTCTACAGTACCATTTACTTACTATGTTTGTGAGTGCCTAATGGCCACTGTTCCTTTTTGCTTACAGTGTATATTAAGTTCACTGACCTGTAAATCATTTGAAGACTTGAAACCCATTTAAAGTTTTCCTGCTTGCACTAGACCTAAGTTGTGTAGCAAACTTTTAACAGTGCTTCTAAATTCCCAGCACACTTTGTCCAAACTCCTGAAGTTCATATTTTTGCACTCAGACTGTTAATGTTTGCTAAAAACTGAAACATTCTTCAGCTGACTAAAAGCTTCACATCCTTAGAACGTACAATCTAAATGTAAATGTGGTGGGCGTATGTGGATCTTTCCTCTCCGAGGAGGCTCTGTTACGAATTTCCAATGTTTTACGCCACCACCAAGCCTCCGCTAAGCTGTGACACCTGTTCAGAATTTTCAGCTTCTTAACCCCTTATTACACTTCCTACCATCCCCAGCAGAAGTGCAGGAAGTGGAACAGAGTTCTGTTGTCCCAGACTCACTGTATTAATTCTCAATGGCTCCTCAATGTCTTTTGCTTTTTTATGTTAATACCCACCTTAAGGATAACTAACTAAATGGAAGGACTTGCTTCTCATAACTGATGCCAGTGGATGCTCTGATTATCAAACAGACCCTGGAAAGAAATCCACAAATTCTACAGAAGGAACATTAAAGATAATACAGTTAATAATAAATATTATTACTGATAATAAATGGTCTGTATCAAAACAAAACAGCAAACTCTAACATACTGCAGCTTTCAAGTAACATGCTAAATGCATTCTTAACATTCATATTATTATTTGCTATTCTTGTTTGACACATTTAGCAAACATTAGCAGTGAATAAAACTTCTTTTAGCATCCGTACGTACCCACTCTCTCCAAAATTTCTGCAAAAATTAAACCATAAAGATATCTCCTAGTTAAAAATCAATATACACCATTGATACAGAATGCCTCCATAAAAAAACCTGTTTCAAAAGACTCTTTCATTACAAACCACAGATATGACCCAAATTTATCACAATAAGAATGCTGACCTGATCTATTCACACAAGACAATCCAAATTCATTTTAGACCCAAAATATATGATATTACAAGGATACTAGTAAATTCTTCCAGCTACTAGAGAATCTTGTATAAATGTATTTGTTCAAGTGCTTCTCTGTCAACATCTTTTTCCACATACACATCATAGTTCAGCTGCATCTCTTCGACCCATTGGCCAAGCTGTATATCTGTCTGAAACAATGAAAACAGATTCTTAACACAATGTTGAGAAACATAGCAGGAGTTTAAAGGTCAGCACAACTTTAAAAATGCAAGACATAATAAGAAAGATTAGTCATTCCAAGTTATGCAGCAATGATAAATTAATTTCTGGAAATGTCATTTAGCCTAAATGGGAGAGAATAAAGAAAAATCCAAAGATAATAAAGAGAATAAAGATTAGATGTAAAGAGATGTGGTGAATGGCTCAGTGCCCAAGTGGAAACCAGTAACAAGTGCTGTCCCTCAAGGGCCTGTACAGGGACCAATACTATTTAATATTTTCATGAATGACATAGATGGGAATAAATACACCCTCAGCAAGTTTGTATATGACACCAAGCCAAGCGATGAAGTGGATTTGCTGGAGGGAATCCATCCAGAGAGACCTTGAGAAGCTTGAGGAGTGAGCCCATGCAAACATCATGAAGTTGAAGGCCAAGTGCAAGGTCCTGCAGCTGGGTCCTGCAGCTGGGACCTGATGGTCAATACAGACTGGAGGATAAATGTATCGAGAACAGCCTTGCAGAGAAAGACTTGAGGATCCTGGTCAATGAAAAATTGGATATAAGCCCACAACGTATGCAGCCCACAAAGCCAACTGCATCATAGGCTGCATAAGAAGTGTGGCCAGCAGGCCAAGTGAGGTGATTTTACCCCTCTACTCTGGTCTCATGAGACCCCACCCGGAGTACTGCGTCCAGCTCCGGGGAGCCCAGAACAAGAAAGACATGGACACGTACAGCGGGTCCAGAGAAGGGCCACAAAAATGGTCAGAGGGCTGGAGCACCTCTCCTGTGAGGACAGGCTGAGAGAGCTGGCCTCATTCAGCCACGAGAAAAGGCGGCTCCAGGGGACCTTACTGCAGCCTTTCAAGGAAGATTGAGAGACTTTTTACCAGGGCCTGTAGTGACAGGACAAAAGGCAGTGATTATAAACTGAAAGAGGGTAGATTTAGACTGGACACAAGCAAGGGTGATGAGACACTGGGACAGGTTGCTCAGAGAAGTTGTGGCTGCCCCATCCCTGGAAATGTTCAAGGACAGGTTGAATGGGGCTTGAAGCAACCTGATCTACTGGAAGGTGTCTTTGCCCGTGACCGGGGGTTGGAACAAGATGATCTTTAAGGTCCCTTCCAATCCAAACCATTTTATAATTTTATGATTCTATGAAGGATACCTTTTAAAAATTATTTCAGTGAATAACCTAGGTATTTTGCTAGCATGCTTCTCTATTTGCATTCTGAAAGAAGTATTGACGGAGCCACCATACCATAGAAGAATTACAGGTATTTCTTGGTTTACACACAGGAAGTATTGTATTAAGGCTACAAAGGGCTTCTCAGCTGCTGTGTTTCTACTGCTTGCTCCAAGGAAAGGTCAAGTGACACCATTGCTGCTTCTGGGCCTCAGGATCTATTTCACCCATCAACATACAGGCAACAAGTGATTTGATTTCTCTAAAGCAGACTACTGTGGTGAGCAAGCTACTTCATAAATAACCTTGTCATGTATGATCAGTGTTTTGTTTCTGAGCTAAAGCCAGCCCACACAATTGGCTAGGCATCATACACGTAACAACTGTAATCTAGCAGTGACCTATGGCATAAGTAGCAGAGGTAACAGAGCAGAGGTTGGTCCCTCAGAAGTGGTTAGTGCTCGGGGAACAGCAGTAGTAGCACAGGGTGTTCAACATCTTTGGAAGTTGCACCGTCATCATGTTTGCTTCCAACAGGCAATTTAAAGCTATGTCACTGGTCCAAGATGCCTGACGGTAACCACTTGACTACTTGGGAGACCACATCTCTCCCTGATCTGTACTTCTAACAGCTCACACTATGAGTCATTTTCTATGCTCACAGCAGGTCAGGAGACACAGTATCCTCAGGCATGGTCCTTCTTTAGTATGTCCCTTTCTTCCACTGGCTTAACTAAATAGTTTGTCATGTTTCAAGGCAATGTGCAAACATAGAGCTAAATTGAGAAAACATTTCAAGGTTTTGCCTCCAGAAGTCTATAAATACATATGTACTTCTGAAGTTCTACCCCTATAGCTGGAAGAAGTCTGATGTAAGTGGATATGATTATCACAAAAATTACACCCTAATCTGGCTTTATTAATGGTTTGTGTTGGTTTTTGTTTTGTTGTTTGTTTGTTTTTTGTTTAACTTCACAGCTAAGGTATTGTTAATAATACATGTAATACTATAATGGTTCACGCAGCTGTTGATACAGGCTGGGATTTCTATTTTACAGGTGGGGAAAATCAAAGTACAGGCAGATGTGTTCACGGTCAACCCAGAATTAAAATTCAGAGTCCTACATCTTTTAATCTACACACAAAATTACTGTCCTGGGTTCAGCAGTAGCAGTCATTTTTTCTCCTTCTTGGTAGCTAGTGTAGTGCAGTGTTTTGACTTTCAGCTCGGGAACAGAGCTGATAACAAGGATGTTTTGGTTTGGCCAAGGACTTTGTGAGCCTCATGCTCTGCCAGGGAGGAGGGGAAGCCAGGAGGAAGCAGAGACAGGACAGCTGACCCAAACTGACCAAAGAGGTATTCCATACCACAGCACGTCATGCCCAGGATGTAACTGGGAGTTAGCCGGAAGGGCTGGGAGTCTGCAGGGTTGGAGGAGGTATCGGTCGGAGCTTGGTTGGGCTTGGGGGGCGAGTTATCGGTCAGCTGGTGCTGAGGTGTTGTATTCTCTTCCCTTGTTATTTCCTTTATCATTATTATCATTGATGGTAGCAGTAGTGATCTGTGTTATACCTTAGTTACTAAACTGTTCTTATCTCAACCTGTGGGAGTTGCATTCTTTTCAATTCTCCTCTCCATCCCTCCGAGAGCAGGGGGAGGGCAAGAAAGGGGGGGGAAGTGAGCGAACGAATTACCTGACTGGGTTTAAACCACGACATATCATGTATCCTTCCCTCACATCAATACTGGCAAGCAGCTGACCTCAACTACCAGACTGCCACTTTCATAGAAAGTGCCAAAATGTCTTGGCTAAAAGCAGCTGAGGGAACTTACCTGGACCTTTGAAAGTGATTCTGTAAGGCTTGGAACTGTCACTAATAAGGACCCTCTTTTCCTTATATTACAGGCAACAAATTCCCAAGCTCTGAAAAAAAAAAGCAGGTCACTAATTTTTAGGGAACAAACCACATTTGATCATAAACCAAATCTAAGACTTCTACAGTTTACTGGGCAGAGATAAGGCTAAACTTAAAGACTTGCTATACATGCTTATCAGTTACTATTAACATTAAGCAAATATCTTGTATGAACAAAATCAAGCTTCTTATTTAAAACAGAGGGAATAAATGGTCTTACAGTGTTAAGATTTTTAACTTTTCAACTTTTTTTTAACATACATGCACGTCATTTTGTACTATCAACACCTTCACTTTGGACTAGGATTAAACATTGACATTTTGTCCCTTTAAACTTTTGAAGAAAATCCAGTCTTTGAGCACACTGTTTTATTAAACACATAGCAGCCTTCCAATATCTGAAGAGGGCCTACGCACATGCTGGAGAGGGACTCTTCATCAGGGACTGTAGTGATGGGACAAGCAGTAATGGGTTCAAACTAAAACAAAGGAAGTTCGGGTTAGATGTAAGGAAGAAGTTCTTAGGCACTGGAATGGGTTGCCCAGAGAAGGGGTAAATGCTCCATCCCTGGTCAGTGTTCAAGGCCAGGTTGGAATGAGCCTTCAGCTACATGGTCTAGTGTGCGGCGTCCCTGCCCATGGCAGGGGTGTTGCAACTAGATGATCTTAAGTTCCTTTCCAACCCAAATCATTCTGTGATTCTATGATTAAGCTTAATAACAACCTGCTCTTTACATACACACTTTGTAGTCGTGACAAAATGCTTCTCTTGAGACGTTAGCAATCAAAGTATTTAAATATTGCCTCCAGCATTCCTTTTCTCCTGATTTTGCAAGTCAGGTAATTTTTCACAGCATGGCAACTCAGACTAAAAAGAATTATATTTCCAGTATTCTTCAAATGTCATTTTTCTTCATGGTATTAATGCAACATTAAACCACTGTCCCTGAGTTCTTGAAGAATGAAATGAATTCTCAGACATGTGCTCAGTAACAAATCTCCTGGCAATTTGAAACACCCACTACTCTTCACCCATCCACTCTGTACCTCACTAGCTGACATTACTGCCTGGTATCATGGGCAATAGTAAGACCAGTCTTAGCTGAAACTGTTAGCAAATGTCAGACTGTTGGCTGGGATGGTGAAGACACACTTTCATTTTGACTGTCCATTATAAAGGCAAAGCAACTTTGGATGATAAAGTTATTTATGGCATAAACGGATATGTTGGATTAGCAAAAGCTCATCTGTATGTTGTATCTGAAAGAGAAGAATCTTAGCCATACGTTTGTTTGCTACTGCATCCTTATGAATATATATTAGAAAATAGGATTAATAGCCATGTTTTGCAGTGCATCTATATTAAAGCTGTGACATTCACAAGTCAGTGGCCTGTATTCTTTCTGAAGATTAAGCTTATGCCAATATAGTAATTTCAGGTCCTTTAACAGCAGATACTATTTTAACAGATGAGTGCAAGGATTCAGGGCAAGGTTTGGGTAAACAAAGCAGCAGTGTTTAGTGGGTTTAACAACAAATAACTGCCATAACACTTTAGCAGTTAAGTGTAACAAGTGTAGGCAGTTTAATTTATGTAATTTATGTGACTTCAAAAAGCACAACCTTAAGGTTTTCCATAGCTCACAAGGTTACAGAGACAATGCCAAACAAATAGATAACTTGTTCAGACACATAGCTTACCTAGCCTGTTCCTGTCTGTCAAGAAAATATTCAAAGACATTATTCATTACAACAACATCAGCCTTCTGAAGAAGTGAAGCCTGAGTACAGATGTCTGCGTGAACCACCTGAAGGAAAAAAAATTTCACAAGGCATAAATTAAGAGACAAATACTGCCTTCAAGTAGCCATGAAGCCTGTCAACCTGATACAGCACCTGCTACCACCATTTTGAACCAGCCACAAAACAGGTATTTCACTGGCTTCACAGTAGATCAAAAGAAGAAGCTTTAAGAAATTAAAAAAACCAAAAATCAGTTTTATCTCCTCTAATTAAAATAAGGGATTTATTACATGAAGTGAAATAAACATCCGACTTTTGGTCTAGAACACTGTGTGCGATAAAGGAGGAGATTGTGTATGTGATGGCTGTTACATTTCACTTATCTGTATTTTATCACAAATGCTGATTAATTTCAGGAAAGAAGCTAAACCAGATAGAGCTTTTTTGAGGATAATAAAAGACATCTCACAGGCTCAGTGGGTTACTAAAGGATTACAGCTAGAAAAGACACTAGGTTTGACAGCTGAATTTTCACAACATGTATTGGGACTGGGAATGCTGGAAAGGCAGGATGCTTGGTGGAACTGGAGGACAGCAAGTGATTTACTTTACTAAACAACTGTCCCTCCAGTCAGCATAGCAGTTGGTTTGATTTCATCTACCTTCACCTACCAAAAAGGATATTAGCACATCATGTCATTTTCAAACAGGTGAGATTACAGTCACAGGAGAATATGGATGCTCATTAGCACTCTGACAAGATGTGTTTGATTTCCTCTTAAACGTGAAGAAATATATCACATCCCAAATCTGAGAAGAAACATCAACTGGAACATCTTTTGAAGGGATAACAGAGAGAAAGCTTATCTGAACATTACTTGCTTTCCACAGGTTTTTTTTTTTTCATCCCTGTATGTTGAAAAAACCCAGAAAATCTGAACAACTTTTTTTCTTTCCTGTGTGACCTGCTACTAGGTTGGGATGGGAACATACTAACCCGAGGTATTCAACATTTCACATTTTGTCAAATCCTTCCAATATTGGACAGATGTAAAAAGGAATTCTTAATTTTGACAGGAAAGCTGAATGTTAGTACAAAACGTTAAAAACAATTATCTGTTGAAAACAATATATCAGTACTTGTTGGGAGGGTAAATTATGTATTCCTCCTCTTAATAAACATGCAAAAGCATGCTGTTCTGATTGACCCCTGCAACTTGTAAGGGTCCAAATCCAGAAAAAATAATGAGTTGTCACAGTTTATGACTCTAGTCTATGCTACCAGAATGCATTATAGCAATTGCAATTACAGCCAAATATTTCAATGTCAGTAATAACAGAAACTAAACTCTATCATTCATAAAATATTAATAGACATTGCAGCATTTCATCTTTGAGAGATGTATTCCATGGGTTCTCTGCAAGTACTCCAAATCAGTAAAACAAACACCTTTACCTCCTTAAACACATTACCATGCCAAGTTGTTCACCACTGCCTGTAGTAAGTGGAAAGGAAGCAACTGTGGTCTCGTACCTTACCCAGAACTGGCAGGTTCTGGCTCACTGAGAAATAGGGACAGTTTAGTTGTCTGAATGACTGGTCAAATTTCTTTCACCTCTAGTGTGTGGACACCTAAACTATTAAGCCACTAGTTCATGAAAGTTAGAGTTTTTTAGGACAATTAAGATTGGCAACAATTTATCTTCAAACAGTGCACTGTAAAATGTAGCAGTACAGAAGCTGATTAAAAAGTTTAAGCATTCAGGCAGCAGAGAAAGAAGACACACCACTTAGGCCACTACCAAATACAGCAGGTCCTGGGTGTAAACTCAAGACCTCTGCATAAAGCCCCTGCTGTTGATTAAAATGAAAGACCATAAACTGGGGTGATAAAGATCTGGATACAGGCTTGACTGCTGCTCTATTATATAGGCAACAGCCTCCTGCAGTGGGGCAGGACAGACAGCTAGAGGCAAAAAATGCCTCTGCTACATCTGCTAGAACTCACGTACCAGAACCTCGATTTTACCTTGACTGTAAGTGGGATGTGGATCACTATTCTGAGGCTAAGGAGACATTTCATTTCACTCTCTTATTTTCAAGGGGCAAAAATAACAAAATCACATAATTTCTGTACAAAAATCCCACAAAACAGCAGTCCTTTAATCCAAACACAAGTGACTGGTGGACTGTTCAGTCAGTGGACTTCTTGCAGCACAAGAAATCACAATTAGCACTAAATTTTCTTAATGCCCTACTAATGGCACACTTGGTATTTTAAGCCTCAATTCAGAAAGACGCTTAAACTACTGGGAAAGTCTGGACTTGTGCTGATGTCTCCTTGACTTGAATAAACCTTGAACCTTAAAATTAGTCCACATTTACACAGTAAGTGGCCATGCTGACTGTAGTGACCTAAGTACCCCATTCTCCCAAAACACATCCTCATCCCTGTTAGGGAATGTGAAACCACATAAACATGTGTGGCTGCACCACAAGCTTGACCCAGGTATTGCTCCAACCAGAACAGCACTTTTTTGCTGGGTCCTTTTTCAGTTGGACCAGTTCCCTGACCTGCTTGGCTGTGTGCTGGCCCAACAGAGGAGGCAGCAACTGATTTTAAAACTGCTCTGTTGCACCAAGCCTTTAATGATTACAGGCAATTTCTGAATTGAAGTCTCAAGTTTCCTAAGATCTGCTGAACTGTTTACTTTCCTCCCAGCATCTGTTTGTTCAAATGGCAAAAGATGCTGAGGAACTTTCTATGTACTTTAACAAACCAAATGTTGACCAAAGGAACATAGGGTTAAATCGGAGATTTAGCCAGTAAAGATATCAATCCACCCTGCTGTCCTTTGGGAACATACTAAAAAAATTCAGAATATCTTGAAAAAATGATTGTTATTTAAGAAGGGTCTCTTAAAAGTTTTTTCAAATTTGTGTCATAAATTATTATCAGCAACTACTGGATTCTGACCATGGGACTCTTCATTAGAGACTGTAGTGATAGGACAAAGGGTAACGGGTTAAAACATAAACAGGGGAAGTTTAGATTGGATATAAGAAGGAAATTCTTTCCTGTCAGGGTGGTGAGGCACTGGAATGGGTTGCCCAGGGAGGTCGTGAATGCTCCATCCCTGGCAGTGTCCAAGACCAGGTTGGACAGAGCCTTGGGTGATATGATTTAGCGTAAGGTGTCCCTGCCCACGGCAGGGGCGTTGGAACTAGATGATCTTAAGGTCCTTTCCAACCCTAACTATTCTATGATTCTATGTTTCAATAATAGCAATTACTGGATTCTGACTGTTTCAAGTCCAGAATCCTGGAGAGGAGTGATTTGGAGTGAAATAAAACCTAAGACTGAAATGTTCAAAGCAGTGTGATAACAGGAGTCACATGACTAAATTAGCATCTAATGAGACTCAAATAGCTAAGTCCTCAGGCACTACTTTGAAAACTTATTATCTTCTAATCTTTATGCTCTGAAGTGAATACTTCAGCAGAATTACAAGGTGTGAAGGAAAAACAAAAAGGCTCATAATAAAGAATATACAAGGCTGAAAAGCATACATACAGATCTCCAGCTCCACTGAATTAATTTCACAGAGTTCCAAACTGCACTTTCAGTCCTGTCACAATAAGTTGTTACGAACACAAAACATGTAAGACCCAAAGATTATGGATAAACTGACAGCAACAGGGATTGAATCAGGCAACCCAATGATATTGCTTACACTGTGTCAAATATGTCATGTTTCTTATTTCTATCCAGTTTAAAATTGGTTATTTTAGTTCCCAAGAAATCACTAAAGCCAGCAGTTTGTGACTCCATTAAAGAACACATGCACATAACACAGGATTAAAGCCAGTACTCTACCCAGTACATTCAACTTTCCAACTTTTACTGGCAACAAAATAACTGGTTATTCCCAAGAAAGGAAAAAAAAAATTCTTATTAAAATAGTAGTAATTCCATAAAGGGACTAGGGAAACGGTTCCCATAATGACAACACATTGTTTGAAATCCATTTTGTTTGTGAAAGGTACATACACACTGACATGACAACACAGGAAATGCCAATAGCTGTAAAGTCCTTTAGGTGTCCTTAGACACAAATTTGCAAATTCTACAAATATCTTTCTGCTAATGTTAATGGAACACAGACATTTAGTTTTGTTATTCATGACAAACTTTTTATACACTCAGTTTCACAGAAGTTAGTTGCAATGTCACTGATTTCACTGGGAGAAACAGCTGAGATGTGTCTGGTTTGTGTAAGCCAGTAGGTAAATCCATTCAGTGACAAGGCTAAGCAATTCAACACACATTATCTTATTTTGATAATCTCCTCCTTCCTCTCTACTATGAGATTTTGGTTTTTTCCCCCTAATACAAAGCTTTTATTTAGGACCAAAACAAGCAAAAGCAGAAACTTTTTCTCAGCAGGCTGATTTACCAGCCACTCACATAAACAGGATACCTAATACACAGTGGTTAAAAAAACATACACTAAACCATGTATTGAGTTACCTTAATTCTGTCAATGAACTGGTATTTTGTAATCATCATTTCTTGCAACTGACAAAAGTCTGCATTCATTTCTACTCCATAGAGTTGGGATGCTGAGCTATAAAGATAACCCTACATTAGGAAAAGGAAATTTAGTAACTGTGATGCCTTTAAAACAAGTTTTAAAAAAATCAATTAAAGTGGAAAAAATAGAACAGAGGTTAAGATTAAGAAAGCATTTTAAAACAGTAAGTTGAGAAATGTCATTCAGTGGATGTGACATGTTTTTTAGAGCTAAGCCCCTGATGTGGCAATTCCCACTTACGTCTCACGAATTTTAATAGGAAATCCAAAATGACATGTCAAAATAATAAAAAGGAAAGCTTGAGCTTCACTTCAATTGCAAAACAGATGGAAAATGGTCTAAGAAGGAAAAAAGCAGTAAAAAACAAGTTACAAAAATAGTGTAAAGCAAAAAAGACTGCACATTTTCATTTCTTGGGAGAATGGAAGAAGGAAACAACAAGAGGAAAAGGAAAAAAAATAAAAGAAGACTTATAAAGTCAAAGTGAGTGAATATGGAGGAGGAAAAGGTACCAGTAATATAAGGGGGTATTTTGGTACAAAGTCTTTGTCAGCACCTATAATATAGTATTATGGCCATTTCCAGGTGCTTACATATGAAAAAAGGTAAATGATCCTTTAATTCCTTTAATAATAAGACCAAAATAATGGTTCAGTTTCAGACTGAGATTTTCGGAAAGTTATTGGAGATGTCAGGAAAAAGTACAAATACTTGAGCCTACAGGGCCCTAATGAAGACACTGCTCTAAGTGCCATTGTCTCCACTGAACACCACAATTACATGTTGCCAACAATGGTAAAGGCAAATAAATTATTCTAAAGATACAGAATATCTGAGCTATCTATGTACTACAAACTAATTGTTTTCTGAAACCATTCAACTCAGAGAGCAGAAAATCAACCTGTGAAGGTGAAGTCAGGTCTCCTCCAATGCAAGGCAAAAACAAGATTAAACAGGAGAACTCTTCTTTTTAAAAACATTTCCCCTGTTTTAGTTAAGACTATCTTCTGCTATAACCATGCGAGTGTTTAAGTACTTTAAAAACAAATTCAGGCTAGCAAAAGTGTTACCATTTAAGGATCCAATGCTGCAAATACTTACAAATGGGAGTAACTTTCCTCATCTGAGTAGTCCGAAATGACATTATTCAGATGAGTAAAATTACATGCTCGAGTGTTTCCAAGATTGGGCCCTAAACAGCCATTGGCTTTTGTAAGAAGGTTGTAATGTGTGTTTTGCATCGCTTTTGGCCATATGTTGCACCAGCCATGCCAAAAGCAATCAAAATTGTACTCAAGTTTCTCGATGAAGTATTTTATGTGCATTTTAAAATGCAGAGAGGGACAATATGTTTTTGGAGACAAATTCATATCAAAGTCTTCCTTTGTATAATTTAACAGTTTGTCAGCTTCATAAAAGAATTTAACATAACTAATCTATATATAGACATGGTCAAGACATGGAGGACAAACTTACTTATGAAGAAGAGAGAGAGCAGGAACTAGCAAATGAGCAGCATGTGTGACAGCAATATGCTACTCTGTTGGACAACAGATTTTTTCTCTCAATAAGCAAGATCATTTATATTCCCTCTTGTGAGGAACAGAACTGAAATCACTAGTAAACAGCACCTTATACTGTTCAGAGAGTCAAATCAGAGGTGCCTCTCAGAACGACCCATCCAAGATGGAGAAAGAAGAGCAGGCAGTCAGAGAAGAGGGAAAATTTTTGTCACAGTAGTAAAATATGAATTCCTGTGCTGGAAGTTACCGCAAATAGCACTGCACCAAGTCTGGAGCCAACGTCAACCACTACCTTTCCTGTCAGGTCAGGCAGTACATGTTGATAAAGAAACTTCAGTTCCATGAGGGAAAAGGAATGCGAAATAAACTCTGGGAAATAAGAACAGAACAAAGGTGTTGGGTGGGCAGTACTAACTACTGTGTTATTAACCAATGAAATACTAATCTGAGGAGTTACCATCACTGAAAACCTGTATGGTTTCCTGTCTGAACTAGTGCTGGGTACCCCGGATATCTAGGGATTGCAGATCAGAGGCAGCCTGCCACATAGTCTGTCCTGAGTCTGCGGATTCCTTCCCTTACATGGAGAATTCTGAAATCCTTCATGAAACTGAATTACCTTTTTCTGCACAGTGACATATATTAAAGAATAAGAAAACAACTTGGGGTTGTTTAAATGATAAAAGGAAACATGGTACCTAAAGCTCAACACAATTCACACAAACCTTTTTATGGGCAGACAATACACTGAATTTCAACTCCAAGATTTTAAGGAATGGAATGTTTTCCATATCAACCATGCCTCCAATGCTGTGCTATACTAGCAACAGCACTGATTTATACCACAGCACACACAAGCTTTAAGACAGATGGTGATTTATACTGCTTTTCAGGGTGCAAGAGAAGTCTGAGGCTACTGCATGGACTCCTACAGTATTGTCTTCCTCTTGCGTCTTCCTTTTCAGTGGTACATAGCTCTGTCTCTTACCTGCCCAGTTTTTGTGGGCAACTAGTGTCACTCATACACTGCAAATTAATTCAACTTACGTTTATAGGAGTCTCTTTCCATTGGTTATGGGAAGTAATTCTGGCCTGTGTACTGCACCAGTCTGGACAAAGTACTCCATCAGCTGGACACTGTGTTGTCTAGCTGAGTCACTGCACAAACCAGTTTAGTCAAACTGAATTTGTTTCTCATGTTCCCAAAAGAGCACTTACCCAAAGATGCAGTCTTGTATGAGCCACACTCTGTGCAGTAGCTCCTACTCATTTTCCCCTTCTCACACAATGAATCAACAAAATCATCATCATAAAGGAATGCATCAACATGAATCATGGGCAGTGGATGCTGGTGTATCTGAGAAGAGGAACAAAACCTAAGAAAGGCATAACCAAGTATCTCAATTTCATTTACACTGTTACACAATTAATTGTCCCACCACCCTATCTTTCCCCAAAATCCATGATATACAAGTTTTTCCCTACTCAAAAGTTACATATCAAAATAAAAATCCTGCATGTAAACTGGATCATCAAATTCCACTGAAATAACCATTAAGTGGAATTTGATAAAAGAAAGCAAGCTCACTTCGACAACCAAGTAGGAGACCTGTTGTGAATTTGGTCTCCTTACTGCTTGCTTGGCTATAGAGGTGGTACAGCTTAAAGGAAGCTTTTTCTCTTCCACTTTGATGAGGAGAATGTAACTTAAATTTAGGAGAAAGGGCATTATTACTTCTCAACTTCAACTGTCTGAATATTTTCATCTTCATGCTTTATGCCCCAAACTAGAAACACTCCTGATTAAAATGGGTGTCATTTTCAATTAAAAGCAGACCAGTTGGGATGCTTGCTTCTCATCATTTCAAGGGGTATAATCTTCATCCTCCTACTCCTCTTTCCTCTCTCTCCCAGGCTTGCCGCATGTGGCCAATTCACTTTTCCCATTTAAGAGCCACACGTCACTTTTCTGCAAAATGAGTTAATTTTCCACATCTATTGACAGCTCAAATAGAAAAGGTGCTCTCCCCTCCCACAGGACTCACAACCTACCTCTTTCTGAGCCATCAGAATCTGAAAAGAGCTGGAAATCATTTCTGCACTGCCCACATTATGGCAACAGTGAAACACTGGCCCTGTATTTCTGTTTTCTTTAAGGGGGCTGTTAAGAGTCTCTTATGGAGTTAACATTAAAGAATCACTGTGACAGGTGCCATACCACATAGAATGAAAGCTATGCCAAATAACTTAGGAACAAAGTATTATGAACTATGAAGCACATTTCTTGGTGTCACACAATCATGCAGCAACAGACCTGAGAATCAAACTGAGATTTCCTATACCTCAATCCAGTGCTTATTCTCTATTATGAACTACTACAAAAACTGAAATCAGCATCAGTCCCCAAATAAATGATGTGATGTGGTTCAGCGAAAACAGACCGTAACAATTAGCTTACTTTCTGTACAGCTTGATGTTCCGAATTAAACATTGCCTCCATGGGTAAACAATTCCGCAAATCTTCAGCGATATTTTTAAGCACAACATCATTGTTAGTCACCACAAGCTCATCAAAGTCATCTATAAATCAAGACAAACAAAACCCCATGAATAATCATATGTAGATCATGTGGACTAAGTGATGACCAGTACAATACAGTTGAAAGACATAAACAATACCAGATGGATAAGGTTTTGATTAGAAATGCGTTTTTCAGCCTTTGTTAGCTTTTCCAGCCAATGACAGATTTGGAGTGTAATAACTTTGCCACTTAAAATAAACGTAGCGCTTTTTTGAAATCTCAAATTATTTTCATATTTATAAACTTACAACTCACATATGATGGTCTGGGCTGCCACCAAAGCGATACTGTTTCAGCTTAAGATATAAAAACATCAAAGATGCTTTTGAACTATTGAAGAAATTACAAAACTCATAGTTGCCTGAACGCAGGTTTTTTATATATATATATATATATATATATATATATATACAAGTTTCTTTTTATACATACCATCTTTCTAATAAAGTGGTTAGAAAAAAAATCAGGGATATTGCACAGTTCAACAGTTCAACTTAGAATACATTTTACATGACTTAAACTATCAAACTATTTCAAACGTGAAAGAAAAGGCCAGGTTGGACAGAGCCCTGGGTGACATAGTTTAGTGGGTGTCCCTGCAAATGGCAGGGGAGTTGGAACTAGATGATCTTAAGATCCTTTCCAACCCTAACTATTCTATGATTCTATAAATGGATGTAAAATAGTACATTTTTGCAGAGGCATACTGTAAAATCTTGCTATTTTTCCAGCATATCTCTGCATTACTTTAACTAGAAAAAAAGATCAAGACAGACCCTTGAGAAGTCACCGATCCTTTCTTCTTCCAAGGCTGAATCAATGTGTCACTACTTCTACAAACTATTCTTTTTCAATTGATTGTTAATGCTGGAGACTCCACAACCACCCTTAGCAATCTATTCCACTGCTTGACTACAGTTACTTAACTCACACTTATTAAGCAATACTCTTCTTAATAACTGATCTAGATATACTCTGTCACAATTTCAACTCAGTACTCTCTGTCCCACTCACAATGGAAATATAAAAGTTTCTTGCTCTCCTCTATGTAGCAACTTCTAACTTCTTTGAAAACTTACCATGTGTCCCATCAGTCATCTCTTCTTGAAGAAACAAGATCCACTTACCCAGCCCTTTCCTGCATGTTTTCTAGGAGTCGGATCATTCTTATCACTCCCTGTTGGAATTCCTGGACCCTCTCAGCCTTTTTGCCCTGCAGTACCAAGAACTAGACCCATTACTCCAGCTAAAGGCTTATTTGCACTAACCAGACTTTTCACATACTGCAGCCAACATCCTGCTTACACATGCCAGTTTTGTGCGAAGGGCCTGATGTTCCTAGCTGACATTCAGCATAAGATCTGCTGTACACCTGTACTCTGTTCCTTTTCTATTACATTTTCCTCAAATGAAGGACTAGATGAAACTTCTTTTTGTCTGGACATCTCACTGCTCTGAGCACACTGAACTGATTCTGAACGAAGTCACATCTCAGGTCAAAACTACATCCCTGTAAAAGAAACAAAACCCGCACAACAAAAAGCAGCCACAAACTTAATCCTAAAAAATATACCAAACCCACCTCTTGATTCTTGTCTAAAAATAGCCATGTTTGTCCTCTCTTTCCTGTAGCTTCTGGTTTGTTTCTTGTTCTATTCAGACTGCTAGCATGCTGGGCAGGGAGTGTGGTGCTTACATATATCAGTCACCAAAAAGAGATCTGATAGATTTCAGAGGTGTTTAAAAAAAGTTAAATATTTGTTAGCATTGCTTTCCCAGGTGGGAACATTAGCATAGACAAGTTTGATGCAAGCAGGTTCAAAATAAATCTGTAAAACATGCTACAAGCTTCTCTATGCTCATATACTTAATCTTGCCTGTGGAACATAGGCAATGCTAAAAACAGTGAAAAATATTACGGCTAGTATAAGAAACAAAGACCAGCTAACTTTTAACTATGAAAAGCTTCTGAAATGCTTTTTGTTTTAAGCAATGTAGTGAGAACAACATCATTAAAGAAACCCTCACTCATTAGCATAAGACACCCTCTTCTTAAGAGTGTAAATGTAAACGGTTTGTTCAACACATTACAGGTGATTCCAACAGATAATCCTGAATCCGCCACTGGAAGCAGCAGAAACTTTAAATCATCTGGATTAACAGACTATTTAACATATATCTGGTTTATCATTTATTAACATATATTTGGTTTATCATTTATTACATGTATAGCAGTAACAATCCAAGGCCCTGATGGGCACAACAACATTGATAGCTGTTACACAACAGGAAGACAATTTGCTGTTCCAAAGAGCCCACAGTTAAATTCTCCAGAACCTCAGCTCCTAAAGAGATGCAGACTTTGCATTGAGGGATAGAGGTGGCAGCTGCAACAGCAGCAGCACCAACAACACAACAGGTGCAATGCAGCAGCTCCAGCTTGCCAGCATTTTAATGTGAAACCTCTAATAAGCACCCATCTCCTGTTAAGTTCACGGTCCACCCAACAACTTGCAGATTTGTTATGAACACCTCAGCAGCAGTGAGTGATTTTTTCTGATCAACTCAAAGATTTCTGTGGATGTGACACAGCACAGGAGTAAACCCAGAGATTATGGGAAGAGAGGATGGACAGATTTAACCTTTGCTTAACCAGGACCATCAGTACCACAATAGGCCCTCAGAGTGCAAAGGAGCCAGAGTTTGCTGAGGTGGATAACATGTGAGGAAGCAAGGAGAAAAATCACACTACAAACTGAATGAGTAGAAAACTGATATTAGCAGCTGTACAGACCAGTGCCTGTGGGTAATAAGCCCTCACATCTGCACATGCTTTAAAACAATACTATTACTATGCAAGAGAGCTCATCCAGCTGTTATACTGCCTGTTAAGAGTATCAAATTCATATATAGCATTTAATGAAATACAGGAAGTGCTCATAGACCACCAGGCCAGACACATCACACTGTAAATGCAGATCTTCAGCTCCCTTTCTCTCAGGGGCTGGTGCATCAATAGGATCTTCTCTCTCATGGTCTGGGTGACCTTTTCTGGCCAACATCAGCAGTGGACAGCTCTCAAGGCTATTCGGTGTCACAGCTCTACAGTAGAGAAAATAAGTACTTCCAGTGGGAGACAGGTAACAAACCCATCTTCCTCAAATCCAGAATACTCCTTCTCTGCCCCAACTCCCATTTGTACAATACTTGTCACAACACTGACCATCTTACACGGAGTCCTCTGAGATCTTACAAAACCAAGTATGACACACAAGAGTTCCTGTAGATGCTCTGTACGAAACAGGTCCTAAGGAAAATCTTACTACCCATATGAATCTTCAATGAAAAAATGTTGGAACACTGATACTGAAAATCAAATGACAAATGGAAGTGTTATTTCCCAACTACTAGTTAGTACTGTAAAGTGCAAACATGCAGAAACACAAAAAGAGAAGTTCTGAACACACTCCTCCTCAGATGACAAAATGGCAGCTTCAGCAGAAGCAGCACATACCATGCTCTGTGCTTGCACATATAGTTTGTGACCCAACTTAAGATGTGGAGAGTCACCTCATTCCTGTCAAAGCAAGAAACAGCAACAGCTACCACAATATCTCATTTACTTTTGCAGTATGCAAATATTTATAGATTGCCATCAAGTACAGAACACAGGTGCCAAATATGAAAATATGCATTTCTGCCTCCTCTGGTATGGTTTTATCTACTCCACCCCTGTGTTTAACAAACTGTTCCCACTTGAGAATCTCAGTATCACCTTAAAAGGGATCCTCAGATAAGAAACAAAAATAGAAAACTATTTTTGATAGTACTTTAGTGCCTGTTATATGTATTAAATGGAGAGTATGTAAGCCAACCCCTGTGTTCATTGAACAGACAACTAACCAGGAAAGAAACATACAGTTCATGAAATACTGCAAGATGAATCTCAATCATTGTTTATGGAGGAAGTCTGAGTGCATAGTGTTTGTGTTTTACTTCAAAAACCGGTTCCACTGGATCTACTCAACACGCATTTATAAAATTTAATTAACACATTGCAAAAAGCCTAATTAACACCCTGGTGCTGCTCAGCCTTTCTACAGCAAATGTAACACAAGCTAAGAAAACATTCACAAAGCCTTGCAAGGGATAGAGAACACCGCTATAACAACATCTAAACATCCTGGCACTGTGAAATACATGACTGAAGATAAGCAACGCCTGATTTCCAAATAACAACAGAAGATTACATGTCACATGGAAAGAAGATGATTTAGTAAAGGCAACCATAACAGAAAGCACTTTACGGTCTTCTAGATATATATTTGGACTATATTCAGACTCACAGAACTAAAAAGCAAATATTAACATCCATGTTACTTAATATGAGGTTAGTTTAATCATTCAGTGTGTTTTAATGATATTGAACAAACAGATCAAGGAGGAAGTCTCACATCTCTAAAACCTCACTATCTCCTTTTTTGGCTAAACAGTTTAAGAAGCAAACTGTGACCTCAGTGTAACAACTTCTTCAGGAACTCTAAGTACTATTTCTAACCCAAGCATACTTAACTATTGGTAGAAAGTAATCAGCTTTTTCCAACAGGAATATAACCAGAGCTTATTTTATTAGTTCTTTCAGCCTTTTACATTCATTTGAAAGAAGCTTCAAAGTTCAATTTTAAACAAGATAAGTCACATACCTATTTTGCAATCACTAGTTTTCCCCATCATTATTAAGTTTCAGTGACTAACAACTTAGAAGTACTTGGTATTCTTGAGACCCCTCTCCAGCAGTATCATTGTCACAACAAAAGTAACTAATGCAAATTCCCAAAGTTGGTGATTCATCAAATTACAGGTATCATCCCATTTTAGTTTACCAAACAACAGAGTAGTGGAAAAGGTTTTCAGTACAGCATAATTTTAACAAGAAATAGATTCCAGTTAATGTGGCTCTGCAATACTATTTTGATCTCTTTTGAAAGGCTGTCTTACTTGGATAAATCACTTCTACCAATTTGGATATGAAGCTTTGTACTAAATTGCTTTCTCACACACACAGAATTTACATACTATATTTGCCACACTGCAGAAACCCATGCTTTCATTCTTTGAAGAGGCTCGTTCAACTTTAGTTCTACCTGCAGTGGCAACAGTACTAAAAGGAAACCTTAAAGACCATTTCCTGTAAAAGAGCCACAATTTTTCTTACGCTATTTTCTATCCTTGTCGTGTGAAAATCATAATCCAATAATTTTATGTAGCAGGTCTAAGAACACAATAAGACTACATCTTTAAGTACATAACAGAAAAAGCTGACAAACTTGGTCTGTTCCTAATAGTATGTTGAGAAGTTTCCTGGAGCAATTCAAGGCCAGGATGGGAGTGGTTCTGGGAAACCTGATCTAGATGAAGATGTCCCTGCTCATTGCTGGGGGACCCCCTCTGAGGGTCCCTTCCAATCCAAACTATTTTATGAATCTATATGCAGAACACTGTAGTAAAGCAGCACATCTGCCATTTTCCGGTCAAGTTAATTCTGTCAGATACCCCTCCCTCACACTGTCTGTTAAAAGCCTGAACTTACAGCACTGACTGCCCCCAACTTTGAGTCACAAGACTAAATCCTATGCCAATCTCTTAAAAAACTGGTTTGCTCCCAGTATGAGTCAATCCACAAGAAAAAAAAAAAAGATTGTACTTAAGTATATGTTGTTTATCCCTTTGAGAATTTACAAAGGTTTATTATTCAATAATTATTTTGAGTAACACATTACTATATAAACAATCAGCCATTCAGACCAATATATCACTTTGAAATCTTAGCTTTGTATTTAAATGTTTCTAATGAAGTGTAGAGAATGGGAAATGTTTCTAAGATTGTTTCATTTTACTGTTACATGACTAAAAAAAAAAAAAAAGCACCAGTATTAGAGAAGTTTTAGCCCTGTTGAAAAAATATTTTTTAATTTCTATCTTAAACTCCATGACAGTACATGAAAAACAATAGTCTTTTTACCACCTTATCTGTGCTTCACTGACATAAATTGAATGAGAGGCTTTTTATCTGCATTAAAGCAAAAGTGTTCAGTAGTTGCCAGTAAGTAGAATGGTTTAGTGACTTCAATCTCAAACTTGAAATTAGATTCATGTATTTACTTCCTCTGGTTCCTGTATCTCTGTTCACGCACACATATAGCTTGATCAATTCTACTTTCACTGTTTATCTCCTTCAGCACCCACTCGTAACAAATGCAACCTCTGCTGCTATTTGAAATTCTTAAGAGTATGGGCAGAGCTAGAGGGAATATGACCATACACACATTTATACAAAAGCTATACATCAAATGCTGGGACCCAATTGAGGGGAATCTTCAGGAGGGAGAGGGGGTCCCCAAGTGGTTTGAATTAGCTCTTGGGCTTCACCCAAGTTTTGTTAGCCAGAACTTCTGCGATGTCATTATTGCAGAAAGATATTAAAGCATTAATCATTCTATTATAAAAAAGACACCAAAGGTTCCTGTTATTCTTTCCAACTCTTATTTCATTTTCTTTGAGATCTAAGCCTAACTCAAAAGAAAGGCTGGAATGCAAGTCACCATGAAATGACGTACATTTCACTGCAGTGTGTGGGAAGAGCCGGCTGATTGCGAAACGCCAAAGCAGTGTTGCTAAGCAGCTGCCTTAAAACAGTAATGTCTTCTTCCATCATATGTAAAGATTTCAGATTTCTAAAATTCACAATAGCACCAAGGAGGTGGACGGGAGGGGAAGGGAAGCACAACTAGTTAATTTATTCTGTATTTGTACAAAGAAGAAAATTATTAACATCTTGTTTACACTTACAATCCTATAATTACTAAGGAAGATTAGTCCAAAACCGTAAGAGTGAGAACCTGTTCAATGTTTTTCCAGTGCCACATACACAAGAGTCTTTACTATAGATAACTTGCTTTACTATAAAGTAATTTGCCTCCTCTGTGAAAAAGTTTCTCAGCAACACCAGAGAGAAATGCAGTCATTTCTGACTGCATGCAAGTCAGAAAACACAGATTAAGTTAAACTAGTAAATCAGGATATCTTTGCAACACTGGCCCTAAAGGGAAACCACTTTATGCAGGTCTCTATTCTAAGGCTGCATGTACACTTTCTGTGAGAGAGAGGAAAAAAGCCTGACTATAGCTAACACTGGAATAATGCCCAGTCCTCCTCAGCTGGAAATAAAACTACAAGCTCAACATCTTGACAGAAACAGGAGTAGGATGGCAGTAGGCAGTGGGGGGAACCCACACGCCACAGAAACCCAACTTGTCTGTGAGGATGTCATTCTATTTTTGTTTCCATTTATCCTATCCTTGTTTGTTGGTTTTTTTTTTTCTCATTCAGAATATTAAACACCCCCCCATCCCTACAGCTTTTTTTTTGTTGTTGTTCCTTAGAGGTTTGTTTGCTTCCTCCATCAGTATTGCCAAAGATGGGGCTTTTATTTCTGTGTGGTACAGAGGTCTGGTAACTTTTTTGCTTCTCCCATAAAACTGTTTCCTCTCTGCACAGAGAATCCCCAAATTCCCTAGCTGTATTCAGGGTACAGCAGCAGCAACCTCACCAGCAGCTCCTCACTACCCTCTGTTCAACCAGTGTTAATTATTACAGCACTCTCCTGGTGTTGCAATGGGCAATATAATTACTCAAACACAACAATTCTGAGGGGGGAAAACATCCCACAGTAAAAGTTACTGTCAGTATGCAACCACAGAAGCAGCTCAGAGAAACAATACAAAGAGAAGTAACATCTAGTGTGTTGTGTTGGGGACATCACCCCAAATACTTGCAACTCTGGGGAAACTGCAAAAAAAAAAAAGCAGGAATGTGTCCCTGATCACTGCACAGGGTTGGACTAGATGAACTTTGAAGGTCCCTTCCAACCCAAACTATTTTATGAGTCTATGATTCTATGACAAAGATTTCTCATATATATCAAGCACAAAGTAGTTAAAAATTTGGAACCTGATCTACAGTTTAGCTTGTATCTTAAATATGAAGAGTAAGTATGAAGCAAGAGTATATACTTCCTTTCACTGAAAGACCTAGGTATGGATCTAAACCACTAAAAATCAGAAAAAAATATCTGAGAGCTCATGATCTAATAAAGGCTAGGAACCACTGCATACTTGTCTTTCACAGAAACTATCTATCTGTGAGAATTTTTGGAAGTTGCAGCCTAAGTAGAAAAATTGTAGGAATTATTCATTGACAAAGAATTTGTTCAAGTCTGCATAAACTATGCCACTCGCTAAAAATTCCTATGGAAAAGATAAAGCACAATCATAGAATCAAAGTGGGGAAAATAGTAAGGATGTTTCCTAACTGAAACATTTTTAGCTTAGCATTTTCAGTTTCACAAATAAGTTCCCATGTGCTTTACTGTATTTGCAAAGGAGTCAGTAAGCTCAGAAAGCCATATATGCACACCATATAAACCAATACAGTGTAGAAGGAGCTGAAATGCTTTCTGTAAAATGAACAACCAGTATGAATGATTGCATATGAAACTCAATGAGATTTTTAAATTACAGCATATTGGATGTAAGAAAACCACTTCTAACAAGATTATTTACAGTAACCTAGGCACCCTTTAGCAAGCAGAGCACGTTACTGAATCCAGACAAGGACTCAAAAAGGAATGAAATATTGCTTACAGGAGATTGCTCTACCGTTATGGACATACACACATACGTGTAGACATATACCTGTGTATTTACATGCATGTGTACATAAACAGAAAGAGAAAATAAGAACGTTTAGTTACTGTTAACACTAACAACACCCATCAAACTTCAGCCTTCAGCTGTTGGAGAGTCCCATCTCTGCTTTAATAGTGAAGGCAGACTCACAGATGCTCTGAAACACCCAGCAACGTCCTTCCTAGTTAAGGGTGAAGGGCTGCTGCTCATAGCAGTGGTGAACAGTGCGCTCCTTTCTGTAATGCCAGCAGAGGGCCCGTTCAGCCAGAGAAGGTTCTTTCCCGCCTCTCTGCTGAGCGGCCGGAGGAGCTGCAAACCACAGGGCAACAATGAGTCTCCAGCTCTAATTACCTGGACAACTTCTAGGTGTCACAGCCTGCCTTTCTGCAACGATCCCCGTGTGACTGTTTATGAAGATGTTTCCCTTCTACAGTGGAGGTGCTGTAACAAAAGACCTGCCTGAACAAGAATTAACCCATGCCCACAACAGGGCATGACCTAGGGAAATAAGGTAGCATATGACCACTTTCTCAGACCAACACATGGTCACCAGGGAGTGGGTTTATCACCCCAGCAGGCAATGATTAATGAACAGGACGCTTATTGGCTGCTTGAGACTAGATCAAAGGAACCGGGGGGGGAGCTTCCAAATTCTTATCTGCAATGACAAAATGCAAATAAATCCACAGACAAAGCAGCACTTCGTTTATTTAGCGTGGCACTATGTGCCTACAGCCTTAGAATCATAGAATGGTTTGGGCTTGAAAGGACCTTAAGATCATCTAGTTCTAACCCCCCTGTCATGGGGCACAGCCTATACTTGGGGTTTCTATATCATCTTTTTGTTCAGCTGCAAATGACCCACATTTCCAATCTTCATCTGCCACAAGATGCTTGACTGCAGCATGCTGATGAAATTGGACTGAGGCACAAGCAAGAGAGTAAACAAAAAGCTATGTTAAGAGGACATTAAGTGAGGAAAACAGCGTTTGGTAATAGCTCAAGGCACTGTTTTCAAGCTTCTGGGAGGTTGCTGTGAACATGTGTGAAGTGGAACAAGACAAGGCAAACCTCTAAACCCCTACAGATATGCCAGCAGCAGACTACCTCTGTATGACCTCAGACGCTGGGGAGTTTAAGAGGTTACCACCCCAGCTGTCTGTCCTGCCCTTCTGCCGGGAGCACCTGCTTCTGCTGCACAGCTGGCAGAACAACCCCGAAATGCAGCTCTGCCGCCACACTGGCAACCCTGAGCACGCCATCAGCTGCGGTTTAGCCTGACGTGACAACCTGATGGCTACGGCAGTTGAGAAGCGTGGCCCGGTGCAAGGGATAGCTTCAGGGCCAGGAACACCTGCTCGGAGCCAGAGAGAGCCGACGGCATCGGACAGGCCTCAGGTTAAGGCCTCCCTGGGCACTACAACACACGCCGCCTCCCGGCAGCCTCACTCCCAGAGAGCCTCCGAGCCCCCGCCAGGCCGAGCCCGGTAACAGAGCGTTATGCGCCCCGGAACCGACGGACTCGGGCTCCCGGCCAGCCTTCTGCTACCGACGGACCCTAACCCCTGCCCGGGGAGCAGAACACCTGACCCAGAAACGGCTCCCGACAGCCCTAGGAACGCTAGGCGGGTAGACGCTCAGCCACTGAGCGGCTCCGCGGGGGACAGGGGGCACGCCCCCTGCCCTGACTACCGCACCCCGCCGCTTCCCCGCCTCTCGCCTCCCCTCGGCGGCGGGACTTCCCCGCAGGCCGGTCGCTGGCCTGACGCCGGTGGGCAGGAAACACGCTCGCCCGGAGCCAGCACCATAACGGAGCGGGGCAGCCAGGCTGCAGACCCTCACCCTGGCGGGGCACGGCTCAGGCCCGCTACGCCCACCGGGCCTTCCCCATCTACCAGACCTGCCCGCGGGGCCCCGCCGGCTGCCAGGGGCGCGGCAGCCGGAGCGCAGCGCCCGTGCCGGGCCGCGCTTACTGGTGTTGCGCATCCAGTGCAGCAGGCGCGGCAGGTCGGCAGCGCGCGTGCCCCGCACCACCGCCAGCACCGCGTGCCGCGCCGCCTCCAGCTCCATCGCGCCGCCGCGGGGGGGCGCAGCCGCGTGCTCCGGGACTTGAACGATGGCGGAAAGCCCCGCCCCACCCGCCGGCGGGGCTCACACCTCCTTGCTAGTACGCATGCGCAAAGGAGCGGCCGCTGGCCTTTGCGCATACTCAGGCTGTCGGGCCCGCCTCCCCGCTCCGTGCGCACGCGCCGGGGAAGGGCACCTTAAGGTGGCGCGCCGCTGCTCCGTTGGGCGCTGTCCGTCTCCGTTGTGGGTCTCTCTGGGACTACCTTAAAGAGTGAGAGGGAGGGCGCGCCGCGCCCCGGAAGCGGAAGCGAGCCGTGGCCCGCGGGGTGAGGACGAGTGGTGACGTTTCGCCGGCCAGCGGGTAGCGGCGGCTGCTGTTGTGTCGTGGTTGTCAGTGGCGGGCGCGGAGCGTTGGGCGGCTGTGCCGCGGCGGCTCGACTGGGCCCCGCGCCCTGCTCCCGGTCAGTGCTAGCGCGAAGCGGGCCCGTCACCCAGCCCCGGCGGCGATCCTGCGGCGGGTAGGGCGGGCATCCAAGCCCTGCTGGCCCTGGGGAGCGGACGGCGGGGCTCCCCTGCGGCCTGCTGGACAGCTGCCGGACCGCGCTGCCCTGGCTGCTGTTGGCCTATTGCACCTTCCCAGGCCGTCGCTGGAACAGGGCTGGCCTGGCCCGGCCCGGTACGCCGCCGTTGGCAGCCGCTAGCTCTGGGTGCGCGGGGAAAAGGCTGGGGCCGGGCCTCTAGTAGGGCTGTCCCTTCGCCAGTTTTGGCTCTTCTATGAAAACAAGGGTGTAGGGCCAGAAGCAGGATGGCCAGTCCCTGCTGCGACTTTGGGGCTACTTTCCTGCCTCTCCTCAGGTAACTTCAGAAGGTGGAAGCTAGTATGCTGGGGCTGAGTGCTGCTGCAGCAGCTCAACCTATTCCCACCTGTGAATCAGCTTTTGTTGTTATTAGACTTACAGTGAGTCTTAACCCATGTGTGTATTTAGTATAACTTTATCATTAGACTTTAAGTATTCGTTTTGCTTGTTATCCTTAAAACAGCTGTTACCTGCTAAAGCTGTTACCTTTTAAAAATTTCATGCATTAAAGAGTCCTGCTAGTTGAACTAGACTGCTTTTGGTTTGAGTTTTATACTAGATGGATAGGCAGGGGTAGGTAGTCTTTCTCTTGGGAATTTTTACTGCTGTTTTGTTATGGCTTAATAAAGCCCCCACTATTTCTGCTGCCCCTTTACTCCTCAAATGCTGCTTCTCAGAGGTGAGTGGAGAGGCCTTGCACTCTGCAGTGGAACCTGGGAGCTCAGTGCCGAGGTGCCCAGTCTCCTTCTGCTTAAGGCAGCTTAGTCTGTGTAGCACTTACGGCCTTCCTCAGCACAAGGCCTGCTTGATGCAGCCTGGTTCTTTTACTGTGGGATGCTGCCACTTTCAGACCTGTACAGTGAGTTTATGGAGTGCTGCATCAAAGCTAAAAAGCTTTTCCAGAACTGCAGATGCTCTGAATGCAGCCTATACTCATTCTGCAGTGCAGTCACTGTTAGTGCCTGTCTGGGCACCTGCCAATCCAAGTTGGCTACCTGCTAACACAGCTTATGTGTCTTTTCACCTTCTTGGATGGACTGCGTGTGAAAAGGTGTATTACTTTCTCTAGTTGGCATTCATTAGTAATTGTGATGGCTTATAAATGTTAATGTGCTAGAGCTGATAGTAAAATGTTTAAATTCATCCTTTAGTATACTATTTGTATTATTCTTACTGTAAGGCTGTTGGAAGAAGCATTTGGAGTTAAACATTTGTTTATTAGGACATAATTAATTTTTTGTATTTGGAAACCCATAGAGCTCTTTAAATTAATTTTAAATATTGAGTGTTCACCCGGCTGCTGTATTATGGTCATGCTATAAAATTTCTAAACTCTTCTATTCAGGTGTTCTAGTCAAGTGTTGTCCATGGCTGCAGTTTTAGCAGCTCAGATCTTTCTGAGATGGAATACTGTTTTTAAAGGTTTTCTTATTTCTTTGTTTAGAGGGGTTTTTTTACAACTGCTGTGATTTTCCTGGGAAAAAAGCTTAGAAAACATTTTGAACATCTGCTTTCCTGGCACCCTTTGGTAGATCATATTGACGATAACGCTTTTTCAGAACTATTTTGCAAGAATGTGACTTATGTGTTTTCTAAGGAAAACTTTGCGTTTTCCTGCCCCAGATGTCATGTAGAAGTCCTCTTCCAGCAAAGGAAGAAGCTGGATATCCATATCTGTTAGCATACTGATCTGCAAATATTTTACAGAGTTTCTTAGGAAGCATAGACAAATTTTTAAATGAAAGGTCAAGGTGGCATGGTAGTGTATGTCACTTTGGACTTGCCTGTTCATATAATGTACATTTAATCTAAAATCTGTACATATATTTATTTGCATCATTTGCTACACCTGAGGCCTGTACTTTGAATATATTTACCTTGAAACTTCTGGGGGTTTTGTTCCGGGTTGTGTCCTCAATATCAGAGGGGTTGGACTGGCAGTTGTGTTTCTTGGGGTTTTTTTCTTAAACTGCCAACTTCGTAACAATATTAACTCTCAATTAGGCAAAGCAGTCAGGAGGTTGGCTTATGTGTATGATTTGTTTTATATACTTTGGAATATATCTTTATACTTATTTATAAACATATCATAAGCTTTGCTTCTTGGGGTCTGTGCAGCTGGTAAATCTTGATGTATGTGTATAATGAGCTTCTTTTTATTTTACCTAGGTTGAAACACTCTCAAATAAAATATGTGTAGATAATGATGTATTCTTAATTTTACTAAATAGACCAACTTCTCTTGTCTATTTAGTCCTCTAGTCATTTGAAGAGGGAGGGAGAAAATACACCAAACTCTGAAAAACTCTCAGCTACTTTGCTTAGAAAGGCTCTCAATATTGGCAAGTTTGCTTTCCGTTTGGGATGCAAGAATTCAAATGTGTGGTTCTGAATTCAGCTCTCGGCAAGGGAGTAGTTTGAGTTGGGTATGAGGAAAAAGCCCTGTGAAATTGGAAGATAAACAAGAAGTGTCTGAAGTTCTCTATTTCAGCAGTAACAATGACGTTGCAACTTTTTTTGCAACATCAAGACATATCCTTGTTTGCCCTTTTCAGAATTCTAGGTTGCTGTTCCTGCCATGTGTTCTGCTGAGTAACTTGCCATCTTGTATAAGAGATAGAGTAGCTTAGCATGTTGACTAAGCTGTCCATACCCTTCAGAAATTAACTATGGTTTCTTAAGTACAAGTTGCAGTATGCTTTAGATTTATATGTAAATTTGTGTCTGTAGTAAGCAAAAATAGGCTTTTTAAAAAAACAAAACAACAACCTTCCCCCTCCCCCAAACATTTAAAAAAATACAATTGAATTTCGCTTATTAAAATTGAAGTATGTTTGAGGGGTTACTAGTATGGGAAATCCAGTTTGATTTAATGTCAGGTAGATAAAGTAGAACGAATAATTAATGTTCAATTTTGCTAACAAAATATTTTGTAGGATGCAGAGCTTCTGAGCTTCTAGGCTATTCTGGTTGGTTTTATATTGTCCTGTAGCATATTGGTGATAAGATAAAAAGCAGTTAGCGCTCCTTCTGGAACTCTGACTGGACTGTTTTCTTCATAGTGAACTCGATGCACAAATATTCCAGACAGTGAAATGCTTCCTAATGGCAGCGTGGAGTCTCTATTTTCAAGTAGGCCATCAGGATAGCCTAAAATTAGCTTCAGGCCAGTATTTCCCAAAAATAACTTTAAAAAAGTAAAAATTGTGTGCTTTCTAGAGTGGAAAGCAGGTTTCTTAACCCAGAAGATACCGGAATAATTACTTTGTGAAGGCATAGCTTCAACTAGGTTTAAATTTAATTTTTAATTGTGTTTCAGATTCTTCTAAGTTGTACTTGAAGCTGCCAAAATGGTTCTAGCAGATCTTGGAAGAAAAATAACTTCAGCATTACGCTCACTGAGCAATGCTACGATTATCAATGAAGAGGTATGTAGTATGTATGTGTGCTGGCGCTAACATTTAGAAATAAAAGTTCTGAGAAGTTCTCAAAGGCTTATGAGAAGCTTGAAGTAGGTTGATGTTATCTTGAGGCTCTTTTCTCTCAGGTAGAAGTTTTAGCTAGAGGTTTTAACCCCCTGATATTACTGCCAGAACTTAGAACCAGATATAGACATGTATAATCACCGCAGGCACAGTGAATCCCATGGTCAAAAGGTCCTTGAGCATGGTGGCTGTACTAAGGGAGATTAGTGTTCTGAGGAGGTAACACTAAAGGAGGCGAAATGTGCCTAAGGTTGGGTGGAAGAT